GGGAAAATTGTGATGAGTGAATTGTGAGGAGAGTTTCTGTGCCTCTCGAATGCACAGTTGAGTTGTTTCCTTTTGTTTAGGTGAACTCCATAAGACTTACACTCTGTGGAGCTATATTTTTCTATTGATTAATACATATTTCAGAGCTGTGATTCCATCATATTATGAGGGCAGATTGGTGATACTGAAAAACCTGCCAAAAACGCAAGCTCTAATAAAGGAATTCCATGACTCTCCTTTTGGGGGGGCATTCAGGATATTTGCACACATATAAAAGGCTCTCCTCCGTCATCTATTGGGGAGGGATGAAAAAAGATGTTCAAGATTATGTCTCCAAATGTGACATTTGCCAAAGGAATAAGTACAAGTCACTCAGCCCAGCCAAGCTGCTGCAACCCCTTCCCATTCCTCAGGCCTCCTAGGAAGATATTAGCATGGACTTCATTGGCGGGCTACCCAAAAGCAACTGCTTTGATACTGTGCTGGTGGTAGTCAACATTCACACCCCTACGATGTGAAAACAGTGGCGGATGTCTTTGTAAGAGAGGTCATCAAGTTACACGAATTTCCTCGTAGTATTGTGTCGGATAGGGACCGAGTGTTCATAAGTCAGTTTTGGAAGGAGCTATTTAGTATGGCTGGAACGACTCTAAAATATAGTTCATCTTACCATCCAGAGACTGATGGTCAAACTGAGGTGGTGAACCACAGTCTTAAGACTTTTTTGAGATGTTTTGAGGGGACGACACCAAAAAAATGGTCTAAAATGCTGAGTTGGGCAGAATACTGGTACAATACCACATTCCATGGAGCTACAGGCATGACGCCATTCAAAGCCCTTTACAAAGGAATCCCCTGACCCTTCTAAAATGGACAGACCGATCCTTAAGGGTGCAGGAAGTTGAGTAGCAACTACAAGAGCGAAATCAGGTGCTGGATGAGGTTAAACAGCAATTGGAACGAGCTCAAATTCGAATAAAGAACCAGGCAGATAAGCACAAGAGAGAGATTGAATTTCAAGTAGGAGATCTAGTGTATCTCAAGCTCAAACCATATCGCCTTTGTCCCTTGCCAGGAAACCCAACAAGAAGCTGTCCCCGAGATATTACTGTCCTTATATAATCATTGAAAAGATTGGAAAGGTAGCCTATAGACTATAGTTGCCAACCACGACCCAGATCCACAATGTTTTTCATGTCTCACGGCTCAAGAAAGCCCTAAAGAATGTTGCCGCAACTCAACCACTACCTGAAGGACTCACCAAGGAACTGGAGCTAAAAGTTGAGCCTGAACAAGTCAAATAAGTCCACAAGTCTGGCCAAGGAACATTACAGCTTTTGATCAGATGGAAGGATCTTCCTGAACACGAAAACACATGGGAGGATATGGAGCATATTCAGACAGTTTCCCAATTTCCACCTTGAGGACAAGGTGAGGCTTGCAGGGGAAGGAAATGATAGGGCCGGTCCAGACCATAACGCACGAGAGAGGAAAGGACCGAATGGGAGTGGCCAGAATGTGGTGTAATGGTTTTCTAACATGTCAGTGTGGGAATGCGTTTAAGAGAGTGAGAGGGGAAAAGGAAGGGGAGACAGAGAGGATTGGTGAGGAGAGGTGCCTGGTCTCTTGAAAACCGGACGGAGAGTTTATTTTCTTGGCATCACGGTGAGCTTTGTTTTACTGTTTCATTAAGCTTTTCCGTTAAGGAAGGGCGATAGACATTGTATTCTCTCATTTTCCATTCAGTAAAGGGAATACCGGCTATAATTCATTTCCAGTATTTCACTGTTATTTACAGGCTCTATCAGACAGACAATTTTGAAGTAATTCAAATTTCCCAAATCCCAACTACTCCTCTATACTCTTTAAATGGCTCATAATCACCCTTAGCAAAGTTTAAATTAGGAGTTATAGGGGTTATCAAAAAATTGGAGTCAGAGTATACATGGTTTAACTCCCCACTCTCCCATTTTCATCAACTGATCACGACTATACTTTCTTTGAGATAATAGCATAACCTTCTTACTTCAACTCCTAGGAAGTATTTGAATGGCCCCCAAGTTTTTTACCATAACTCAGAATAAGAAGTTTAGAGTGGTGAAATACTCAAGGTGTCACTCTCACTAATCACAATATCATCAACATGCGCAAATAGGATAAAGCCAGCACCTATTTGATTATAGAACATAGAAGGATCATACTTTTACTTGACCTAGACTTCAAAACATATAAGGATTTACAAAGGTGAGACACTTTCTCACACTCCCCTTGAGCAACAAACCATGGCCAGAACACTGGTATGCTCTATTGATCAAGGTATAGCTACAATATATAATATATACACAAAACTACAAGGGATTTTGGATGCTAAACGTGGACAGTATCAAATCATAAAAATATTTCATAAAAACCTACCTGTCAAGCCCTCTTTGATTGTATGTGATGACTATTAACAAAATATTTTCCCACTAACGACATATTTAACCACATTCCCCCTCAAATTGGATAATAGATATTAATCATGTCCAACTTACTCACTAATCTTAAAGATTTGCTTGGAAAGCCCTTTGGTGAATATAAACTACTTGCTCTTTTGCTGGCACTTATGTTAGGCACACAACTTCCTCCTCTTCCTTTGATTTGATGAAATGCTTATCCATGTTTGGTGCTGTCATGCTGAACCAGACTATGAGATATGTTTATGGAAGACATTATCACAATGGAATTTTATTGGTGACCATATGTCATCTTGTACTTCTTCCAACAATTTCTTGAGCCGTAATCTCTCATATATCCCTTGTGCAATTGCTCTAAACTCTTGTAGTACTTTTGGCTACCACACTCTACTTTTTGCTTATCCATGTGAGTAAATTGCCCCATAAAAAAAGTATGATGCCCAAATATTGATCTTCTATCATCCACTGACGCAGCAGCAAACCAAATACTTCTATGTTAGCTTGGTTCCCATTTTTCAATGGCAAAGCCTATTCCTGAGATTTTCCTAGATACTTCAAAAGCTTATAAACTGCTTGAAGATCTCTTTCCTTTGGAGAGTGCACATGCTGACTTACAATGCTTATCACGAAAGCAGTGTCTAGCCTAGCGTGAGATATACATATATATATATATATATATATATATATATATTGCCCTGCCAACTAGCCTTTGATGTTTTTCCTTGTCAAAAATAATTTCTCTTGTGAAGAAATTGCACAGAGAACAGTACGAAACCAGAGCCAAGAAGCATTTTATGTAATTCCCCTTTGAACCAAATCTAGACTACAGACCCTTGTGTGTCCGTGGTGCTAAGGGTGAAGATTTGTTGAGACTTGACAATCCATCAACTTTAAACTCTGTTTTTGTTACTTCCTTTTTCTATGTTGCACGTGAAGCATTCTTCTTCGCTATGGGCAACAGCCCATGTTGTCCCCAGAAAACTTTGTCGCAGGCTCTAACCAACATATTTGCCATCAATTGTGATCTGAAAATTGATGTCCTGCGAACCAACATATTTGCCATCAATTGTGCTCTGAAAATGATGTCCTGTGAACGCTCTAAACCTCTTACATTGTGGGGAGTGATAGGCTGAATTTTCAACCTTTTCTGGACTATCACCTGCATGTCTTTTGGCTCATTCATGGGTGCTAAAGGGAAAACTCATAATCTTGGGTCGAGTTAGAGTTCCTGGGGCTTTCTTATTTGTCTTTGTTCTCATCAATGGGCATCAAAAGGAAAAACTTGTCTTCTTCAACTTCTAAAGATTTTCTTTCCGTGGCCTACCAGTCCTCCTGCAAGGCTGCTAGATTTTGTTCTATCCTCTCAAAATCTTTTTCCAATATGACAACAATGCTGCGTAACTATTCTATATCAAAGCTCATCTAAAAACCGAGGATTGAGTGGCTTTGATACCACCGATAGAGAATGGTAGAAGAAGAGAATTGTAAAAGAAAGAGTAGGAGAGAAGGAAGAGAGGAGAAAAGGAGAAACCAGAATTAACTGAAAACTTTGATAAATCAAAACATAAAAGAAAAGGAAATCACTACCCATATTTGTAAGTCATGGGTAATCCTAATCCTACTTAACTATCTAAATTAAATCTTTAAATATCTAATTCAAATACCAATAAATAATTCTATTGAAATCCTACTAATACAGCATCGATAACAAAGTCTTATCTCACTAAGTAGAGTCAGTTATATGGATCGCACAATGCCAATATAAATCATATAATGATGTCCAAATAATATTTATATCCATTTAAAATCCAAATAAATCCTAATAAAATACTAATAATTAATGAATCTAACAAAATCTTATATAGGTTCATAATTACATATCACATAGCTACAGCAACCAGTAGCTTCACCAGAAACAAAGACATCCCCAAATAGCAACCAGCTAGACACTAAACAAAGGCTCAACAAGCCCAAAAAAAGGCAACAATAAGAGCAGACATGCAGATACAAAGAACAAAGTACCCCCACTTGATAAACAGAATGCATAGGCCAAGATATCATCACTAGAGGAAGAAGATCACCATCGAAGGGGATGTTCCACACTCCTAATGAACTGGTCATGTGACTCTAGAGCAGAAATTGAAGGTGGTGCATGGGACTTGCATAGCCAACAGCCACCATACTTTCAGGTAACAACAATTAGAGGCCTCTAGTCCTCCCAAGGTAAGTAGTGAAGGTAGATGGTCATTTCAACTTCGCCCTTAATGCATGTGCACCCAACACAAAACGGAGAGAAGAAACAGCTCAAAGAGGAAAATTTCAAATACAACCAACTGCCATGATTACAGGTTTAATTGAATGGCTTATATATTATTTACACATGTATCTCTACTTATATACATCAAACTTCCCTATGAACAATTACAAAATATTTCTCTCACAAAAACTAATCCCTAGAAATAAGCTCATTGCTACTTACAAAAACATTTACAATTTACAATCAGTGTAGATTATTCTCTAACAACCAGATATAGAAATGCTTACATAATGGATCTTTGAGTAGCTTCTCATTGTTAGTCCCAACATCAATCATTACAGGAAGTACCTAAGAGAGGAAATGGTTGAAACTAAATCAGATCATTCCAATTGAAAACTCAATCGCAAAGTAGTTAAGTAAGACTTGTTCTAATTGATAATCATCTGTCAATCAATAAGTGAGCAAAGAAGTAATGCTTTCAACAGAACAAAGCATACCCAAAAGACAATTTAAGCATAAAAGGTAAAATGTAATAAGCAAATTCAAATGCAGTTAGTCACAGTATTTATTAAATTACAACATTTTCCTAACAACAATTCCGTTTAGTATTGAACCACCTGGTATCTAATACTACGAACTAATCTGAATTCAAGCCAGGTCAGGCCCTGATTTTTTTGTGAAAAACTTAATACGGCAAGTCAGTGATCAAAATGAAAGACTTTAATTCTAAGGAAGTGAAACCATGAAGGCAAACATACCCTTTGAGGGTTAATTCCTGCAGCAGCAACATACAAATCCAGCTTTCCAATTGCAATGCCAATTCCTTGAACTCCAAGATCACCAAGACCCAGAATTCTGCTGCCGTCTGTAACAACAATCATATCAACCTGGGAAAGAACAGAGAGATTCAGTTTTTTCAATCATCAAATAAGATATCAGGACATTGAGAGAAAGATCAAAGTTTAGAAACGTACGCAATGAAGAATAAACACTGAGGAAAACATATATATATCAACAATATACCATAATGATCTAATAGCAAAGAAAACATCTAGGCAAAGAACAATTCAAAAACAGAAAGAAGAGAAATGCAAAGGCAGAGGATAAAAGAACTCATAGAACAAGAAAAACCATCACGAGATTATGAGAAATCATTTAGCCTATCAGAGCTCCAATCCTTCAGTAAATTCATTTTATGAATGAAGCCATGGAAGAAATCTCCTGGTAGAGCTCTAACATTTCTTCCAACCCTAAACACCACATCCCCACAAAAGAAAAAAGATCTCCAAGCACGCTAGAGGGAAGGGGAAAAAAACTAGTCAATGCAATTTATCAAAGGGAGACAATTACCACATTGTTACATGTCTATCAAACATTATGACTATATAGGATTAGGTTTAAAGAACAGAAAAGCAGTGATATTTATAATAGCAATGCATAAGTCCTAGCAAAAGAAGTATAAATTATCAATGGGACAGAGGCATTAACCAACAAGTACCTGATCAGCTGGCCAGTTATAAACCATCGACATCATTTCTCCACGATCTTCAGCACTAAAATACATTCCTCTTGGCCTTCTAAATAAACCACTGTAGTTTTGACATACAAGACCAACAGTTGGAGTATACACTATAGGGGCATATTCCTCAATGTTTGCAATCAAAACCTGTCATACAAGTGCGTATCATTAAAGATAAAATTATAATCATGCTGGTTTCTTTTGTCCTTACGTTGTACAAGAACACACCTAGTCAATCATATTGCAATAAGCCTGTTTTTCTTAATCATAGAAAATATGGTACAACTATATAACTAAATTCACATGGTGGAGCACAGAGTTCCTATTCATTATAGATCATTAGACTTCAATTCCCCAAATGTCTAGGGCACTGATCCCAAGTCCAGCTCTAGGCATTTGCCCATCGGAGTTTCATTTTGTGTATTGTTATGATGCTCAGGATATATTACAATTAATTGTCTTACTGTCTTGTAGATTTCACACCCCATTATACGCCATGTTATCAGTTAGTTGCTTCCTAGCAACTAAGATAGCATATTCAAAACGAGGTATCTCTATATCCCAGAAAACATGTGACAGATCTCTAAACAAAATCATGTCAGTAAACATGCAGACCAACTTACAAAGCAACTGATTCCAACTGGCAAGCAAACAATGCTGCTGGCGGAAAAATATACCTAAGATTGGAGGGAAAACTTATCTAGCCCACTCACACCAGACATGGCTTATGCAACACACAACCCCAAACAAGTACATTTACAGGGCTTCTGGTCCTACACTATTTGAAGACCACTCTAGGAAACAGAGTATCATTCAAAAGGATCACAGAATCATCTGTAGAGGCCAATAAAAATGAGGATGATGCCCGCTCTCTAGTTGAACAGAGTTCCACAACAAGCTATTGCACTTATCAAAAGCAATCAAATAATATGGAGTAAGAAAAAAGTGAAATGGAATTTGCAAATTCAAATTCACGTCACTTAGGATTTGTGAATTACTATGGTTGAAACGTCAAATATCATTTTGGAAGACCTGATAATTAAGTGGGATGAATCAGTGAGGTTGTATTATGATAACAAATAAATAAAAGCATTGCTCAGAAGTCACAACCCAACACATTATGATAAAATCAAAGCACAGTGAAGTTGACAAGGATTTCATAAAGGTAAACTTGGAGAGTTGTCTAATTTACACTCCTTATGCATAAACATATGGCCAACTAATTAATGTACTTAGTAAAGGACTCATCATTCCAAGTCATTACTCCAAGCTAAGGATGCAGAACATCTACATGCCAACTTGAGCAATGTAGAAGATGCTATAGTTTTGAGAGAAATTATGTCATTATGAGGATGTCAGATTAGGAAAATATTAAGGAACAATGTAATTATGATTAAGGGAACGTCAAATCCCCTTATTGTGGTATATTTATAATAACAGGTCAGCTGTGCAGCATCAAGAACAATCCTATAATTGATAAGCTCTCAGTTACGATGTATACAATCGTCTAGGCTGCCATGTAATATTCAGAGCCGGAATTCAATTGAGTTTCTTCATCAAATCATCACAGTTAATGGGAATCTTTAGCAAAACATGATCAGGATAGTTTGTCCCGAGTGCGAACATCACTTAGTTAATTCATCTACTAAATCAATGGTATGGCTTCGGGTTGAATATATTTGTAACCATTTTGAAGCATAATAATATATATATATATATTGCTCCAACTTGAGAAGTGTTGGAGATAGACATTCTGAGTTTCATTCTATTTAATTGACCTGCTAGATCCGGGTAGTAACTATCTTATTTATCTCATTGTTTTGTTTGCCTGGAGGTGTTAAAAGTTACCTTAGATATAGAAGATAGTGTGATTGTTACTCCCCTTTTTTTTTTGGGTGAACGTTAAACCCCATTATTTTCAATAACATAAAGAGAGGGTGTGCAACAGCTAAAGTATATTTCTCCCTTTGATACCTAAATGCAACATCATGTAATAATTTTTCACTAGCTATTAATGAACAACTTTCCCTGTCTCTTCACCTAATAATAGACTCATAGACCTTTACATTGTAGCACAAAAGGTGAACATGACAGGAATCTCAGCAGTTGGGTTCTTTTCTGATTGTCAAGATATTAGAATATTTTCTCATTAATGTAAATAAATAGGGTAATTTGTATCATTATTATAGGATCAGATATTATTCCATTAGGATATTATTCTGTCATTATGACCTATTAATACCTAGGCTTTTCCCTCCTGTATAGATACCACATTCCTTACTCTAAAATATACAAGAAATTCATATCATATTTCACTTTATATCCATACTGATGAAACAGAGCTTTTCTCCTCTATATGTTTATTAAACTAGCAGCACATAAGCATATAGGTTTGTCGGCTACCCCGGCATCCTAGTAAATCTGAAATTACAACTAGAATCCTTAAAGTTAGAGAGAAACCTGCTCTAAATGATTTAAATGAGATTAGCACAAGATAAAGCAATAAAAGGAAACAACATAAAGCAGAATAAAGAGCGGGAGATGGAGTAGGACTACAGCAAAGTGGAATAAAGACATTGGGCATGGGCTTTCAGGTTTTCAACATTTTATTTCATCATCAAGGGAAAAATATTGTGAACTGACCTTGTAGTACATAGTCTCATTTCTGTCATGCAAGCGGTTGAGTATCCGCCACTTGGCCAAAGCATTGGGATCAGATGGTCCATCTCTTGCTTGCACTTCAAGCCTCTTTAAATCAATCACTGTTTACAAACGAATATACCAATAGATAAAGTACCAAATAAGAACAATAACAAACCCATTTTATCAAGCAATCAAAAACAAAATTGTCATTCATATCTCATACGGACCAACTAGCTAGAACTGCCTGTCATTTAAGTGGTCGTTTAATGTCAAACAACTTTGCGGTATCATGCAAAGATGTATTCAATAGAATCAGAATTTAAAAATAAAAAATAGTAGAACAGTGATGTCCTTAACTTGAAAGTTTCACTAAAACGAAAGCCTTTTATTCTCAACAGATTTACCAAATACTACCTTCAAGTTTTTCCCTTTTCTTGCCCTCCTTTCATGTACACCTAAAGCCCAATAGAGAACTTACCATCAAGGAGAACACAAGTATATATAGAATATATACATAGAAATGCTTTCATCGAGTGGAGGAAAAAATGCTAATGTCCTGCTATCAATTCCTTTTTTGTAAGCAATGAATGAAAGAACTAAGGAGAATATAGTTATATCCAAGAAGATATGTAACCTAATAAAATAAACAAAGGTAAAGAGGAAATGGATAGAAAACTCCAAAGGGGAAAGCTCTACAGTTCCAATGAATATCAGATAAAACATTATCCAAAAAAGCCATAGGTTGAAGTGAACGTATCTAAAAATTATAGCCCATGGAATGTCTAGAATCGTCCCCTAATATTCAGATCCCTCCAAGTCACCAGACCCCAAACAACAAATCACATTTCTCCAGAAATGTTTTGTTTCTTTTTCCTACCAAACTCTTCAAAATTGATCATGCCTCTCTAGGGAATGGAAATAGCCACCAAATAATGCAAAAACAAATGATTATCGACATCCAGACTTTTCTAATCCCGCACACAGACATCTGGAGACAAATCATCATTATTTCCTGCAATAGATCTGCCAGATTTACTCCCTCAAGTAAAATAAACAAAACAAATTATTGAACACTAGAAGCAGTCTACATTAGAATGTCTTAATTCCAAAATTTTGATGCCGAATTAACTCTATCGTCAGCTCACCCAAAGACCACCCAAAAAAAAAATTAAGACGATTCCATTCTGTCATGGAGAAAGAGAAAAGTATATACAAATACATACTGAAGCGCTCAATCTGTAGTTCAGTAGACATAACATTTGGAGGAAGCAATCCTCGGAGATCAAGACGATTCCGTTCTGTCATGGTAAAAGCTGTTCCCTAATATTAAAACACCAAAGTCCAATTTATTACGTATATAAATTTGATACGAGCAAATGTGAAATTCACAATTATTTTAATAAAAAAAGTCTTTTCTCAACAAAAATAAAGTTGGTAAATGGATCACACTCTTCATGCAAAAGCTCAATTTCCTCATTCAACATAAGCACAAGTGTGAATGGGTAGAGTATTTATTTGGTTGATAAATCCCAATGAAAGTCAGACAAGGCACAACGACCATAAGCGGAAAAAAAAAAAAAAAAAGGGTATTTGCAGCAAATTTCAAGTGCACTTTCAAACATTATATAACTGACCAGCTGAAGACAAGGATCACTTATGTACGGATTGCCACTTCTACAGAAGCATTAGGACTACTATAAGTTTCAGAAGCCAGGTCAGAAATTTAATTGGATAAGTGAATCTTGAAGAAAACAGTCAACATGAAAAAAGAATTAGAAAATTAGAAGGAAGCTACCCATGTGAAGAATAAGTCATGAACTGATAGGCTTGGTTGTCTATACGTAGGTATAACGAAGTCGTTCAGCTGTTAGACTGTAGGTTGTCACCCCTTGTTTGTAGAGTAGGGAGATTCACAAAATGTAAACAAAGGGAAGGTTCTGCGGAAGAGTGATACGTGTGTTTGTAAATACCTCGTTGTATAATATAAATAATTAAGGGTGTGTTTGGTATGAGGGATTTGAACGGGAGGGGAGAGAAGGGAGGAGAAAGGATTTTAATCATTTCCCCTTGTTTGGCAACACACAAATTTTAGGAGGGGCGGGAAAATTTTTTAAAATTTTCCCTCCCCTCACCTCCCCTCCAAAATTAGGAGGATCTGGAGGGAAAGGGCAATATTTTGCCATGTTGTGACTATTATGCCCATCTTTTGTCATGTGATGACTATCATGCCCATATCTTAAATAAAATAAGGGCAAAATTGTCCATGTTAAAATGTTTTTCCCTCTCCTCTCCTCATGAATCAAACAAGATAATATTAAAACTCCTCCCCTCCCCTCCCTTTTTATAAATCCAAACGAGGTAATATTAAAATCCTTCCACTCTCCTCCCCTTCCCTTCCCTCTATTAAAATCCCTTCCCTTCCCTTCCTCTCATTGAGCCAAACAGACCCCAAGGGTTAGGTCTAGTAGTTAAATGACAGTTAGGATATAGCCGTTAGTCATATGCTATATCTAGGGGTACTAGCAATTGAACGACCTATGTGAATTATCTAATAAAGTGCAGTATTCAGCTCTCTCCCTCTCTTCTCTGGTTTCCCTCAATTTCCTATCTCTTTTCTACAACTCTGTACCAAAGAGTCATTGGAGAATTTGGAGTAATCCTAGTTGCAGGAGATTTCCTTCCTTCTTGAATAATGAAGTTTGAAAGCTAAGCTGTTAAAGGGTGTACATGACCTATTTATCAATAAAATATCAGGTAGTGGACATTGCCCCATACTATATTTTAATACTAAAAAGAAAGATTACATTTTGTACTCACGAGATAATTTATGAAACGTCAGATATAAAATGCATGTAATAAGACAGCAATTTCCCAGGAAGTACAACAATCGAAACTGTCGAAATTACCACAAAAATAAAACCTCTATAGCACTTGTAACCAAAAAAAAAAAACCTCTATAGCACAAAATCAACAAAGTACTGGACATAAGACAAGCAATTAAGTTGGCATCTCAAGAAATTCACTTTAAAGTTTAAATTAACAGAAATGCACAAACAGCAACCCAGCGGCCAGTGCAATGCGACCTTCAAATCATATATAAATACACCCCATACTCAATAATTGACGCATCCAGGAAGAAACATTAACGATCCAAAGAAAAAGAAAACGGTAAGATATACTTTATTGAACCATGGGTCGTGGAGAATATCAAGGCTGCGTTTGTGGACTATGGTAGGACGGTTGCCTTCGGTTGTGTAAGATCTGGTGATGAATAGCCAGGGAGTAGCACTGGCTGCCTGCCGTTGGAATCGTTTGAGTAGAGAGGAAGAGAGCCTGGTCTTGTTGGAGAAGAAGCTCGCCATTGCTGAGTGGAAAGCTTGCTCTAGCAGAAGGAGCAAGTGGTGGAGAAGAGAAGACTCAGTCCAACGGAAGCAGCGTATTAAATGTAGCGAACTGAGAAAACATCAAAACAACACGGAACTGAAAGGGATGGGTTTCATGATCAAAAGTAGAAACTTGAAAAGGGATCTATAACGCACGAAATTTACGGTGGTTTATTTCCACGTGTGGCCTGGGCTCACTTTCTGCCCAACGTGTTCTGCAAAACAAACTGATTTCTATCTCTAGCAAAGAGAGAGCCGCCCGAAGAGGAAAAAAGGCTTTACCCTTTTGGATAGAAACCAGACTATGGTTTCAGGAATGTTTTTACAGTTTACGAAGTAAACATGTGGAGGTTATCTCGTTTTGTTAAAAAGTACTTCTGAAACCATGGTTTGGAGGTTGTCAAACACCTCCTAAATTTCTTTGTTTTGTTTTTCCGCCGACGTTTGTAGATTAACTTTTGGGCGTTTGATTGAAAGTTTGAAATTTATGAATTAAGCATTCCTATGACTTTCACATTTTTCAAAATGCTTGGATTGAAATTGCAACTTATTAATTACTATTCCAAAATTGGTAAAATAGATTCAAAATTTGTTATTATTGTCTCAAGTTTAGGAATTGTGACAAAATTACTCTTTCATGTCATTCACAATCTTTATATAGGTATTGACTATATTTTATTAGCTATTACCAACTTCAGTCAAATAAGTAATATACTCACTCTTTCATGTTATTCACAACTTTGATATAGGTATTAATTATATTTTGAGCTATTAATAACTTTTGTTTAACAAATAACAAAGGCATATTTTCAAGGGAAAATTGCCAATAAAGACCGTGGAATATATAAAATCGCAATTTGGGTCCTTGAATTTATATAATTGCTGTCAGAGACCCGGTCCCAAATAAGAATTATGAAATGTTAGGTAAAAGACAAAAACGCCCTTCTGTTTTTTTGCAGTCCCTTGTCTACATGCCCTAACTTTATCTTTCTTCACTTTCCAAGTCGTCTCCCTCTTTCTTCACTCCGACTCGTCTCCCTCTTCTTGATGATGAACCATACAAATCTCTTGAAGAAATTGAGGCTAACACCATTAGAAATCTCCTTCTTGATGAAGATGGGCCATCTTCTGGTGTTTTTGATGACTCGAGTTTCAATAATTTACCAAAACTGGTGATAACCTGGAAGATTTTGATCTGTTTGGCAGTGGCGGAGGTATGGAGCTGGAAGGCGATGAACATCTAACTATAGGAAAAGGGGCCAATGGTCCAGATAAAGATCCTAGTTGCTTCGGACGTTTTAAAGGGAAACTTTCTTTTGTTGAACATTCTTCTAGAACAATTTTTGTTAGAAATATTAACAGCATTGTTGAAGATTCTGAGCTAAAGACTCTCTTTGAGGTGCTTCTTTATTGTTTTACGTTGATAGATGCTATGCTAGAATTCTTAGAAAGCATTTTAGACTTTGAATCTTATAAAAAGTCAATGCAATTTCTTGTTTGTTTTGACAGTAATATGATGATGTCTGAACCAAGTTTGATAAGTTGTTGAAAATAACAAATTGACAAGTTCTGATACCCACTTCACGACAAGTTCAGTAATGCGAATAACAAGTTTAGGAAAGCAAATAACAACTTCTGATAAGCAATTCATAGAAATTCGAGTTTCTGTGTTAAGATGACAGCTTTTTCAGATTTCTTTAGCAGATAACAAGTTCTGATACATAATTCATGACAAGTTCAGTAAGGCGAATGACAACTTCTGATAAGCAATTCATAGAAATTTGAATTTCTGTGTTAAAATGACAGTTTCTCATTAGGTTTTCATACTTTTTCTGTTAAAATGATTGGATTTTCACATTGATTTATCAAATGACAGGTTTACAATAGAAAATGACAAGTTTCCATAAGATTTTCATACATTTTCATACTGTTTTTGGCTGGAATTGCAATTTGCATATTTCTGACAGCAACAACTTCTGATAAATATGAAATGACAAGTTTATAATGAAAAATGACAAGTTAATTATGGCAAATGACAAGTTCCCATAATGTTTTCATACATTTTCATACTTTTTCTGTTGGAATTATAATTTGCACATTTCTAACAGCACCCACTTTTGATAAACACGAAATAACAAGTTCATAATGGAAAATAACAAGTTAAGTATGGCAAATGACAAGTTTTCATACATTTTCATACCTTTTCTGCTAGGATCACAATTTGCACATTGCTGATAGCAACCACTTCTGATAAACAGTAAATGACAAGTCTACAATAGCGAATGACAAGTTAAGTATGTAAAATGACGAGTTCCCATAACGTTTCCATACAATTGTAAATTTTTCTGTTAAAATAACAATGTGCAGATTTCTGACAACAAACACTTCTGATAAACAGTAAATTACAAGCCCATAATAGCGAATGATAAGTTAAGTATGTAAAATGACAAGTTCCCATCACGTTTTTATACAATTGTAAATTTTTTTGCTGAAATAACAATGTGTAGATTTCTGACAGTAACCACTTCTTATTAACATCTTTTATCATCAATTTCACCTCTCATTTCCTCCTAATGTATAAAATTATAGCACCAGAACTCTCATAAGCCCCTCAAGAAGCATGCTCATATCAACACCAACGGCAAATGCACTATGATGATCATATCCACTCACAAGTGCATCCTCAACCATGAAATTCCAAATGTAAATTGTCATATCATATGAACAAGAAACCATCAAATTCTACATATAAGGTGAGAACTTTATTCATTTAGCACTGTATTTAAGGCTCGTTTGTTTCTCACATCCCACACCTTGATCGATTTATCCACCGAAATACAATCATCATATTTGATTTCCACAATTTAGAGCTTTTTTGCAATTATCAGAAGTTGGTGCTGTCAGAAATGTGCAAATTGTAATTCCAGCAGAAAAAGTATGAAAATGTATGAAAACGTTATAGGAACTTGTCATTTGTCATACTTAACTTGTCATTTTTCATTGTGAACTTGTCATTCCGTGTTTATCAGAAGTGGTTGCTGTCAAAAATGTACAAACTGTATTTCTAGGGAAAAAAAGTATGAAAATCTTATGGAAACTTGTCATTTTCTATTGTGAACCTGTCATTTTCATAAATCAATGTGGAAATTCAGTCATTTTAACAGAAAAAGTATGAAAACCTAATGGGAACCTGTCATTTTAACAGAGAAACTCAAATTTCTATGAATTGCTTATCAGAAGTTGTCATTCGCCTTACTAAACTTGTCATTCGCCTTATTGAACTTGTCATGAATTGTGTATCAGAACTTGTCATCTGCTAAAGAAATCTGAAAATGCTGTCATCTTAACACAGAAACTCGAATTTCTATGAATTGCTTATCAGAAGTTGTTATTTTCCTTCCTAAACTTGTTATTCGTATTACTGAACTTGTCGTGAATTGGGTATCAGAACTTGTCAACTTGTTATTTTCAACAACTTATCAAACTTGTTATTTTCAATTATGAACAGAAGCTGAAAATTAAAATAGAAATGAAGAATAAAAATCCAGATTTGTTGGGCGTTGTCTGAGCACCAAGCAATCATCACACACTTGCCGTCGTCGCTGCAACCATCTTCGACTTCAACACAGAACTCGGTGACAAACTGGAACTCAATTCCTTCCTGAAGCTAGGCTTCAACAATATCTAACGGGAGTCTTGTTGAGCTTAATTATTGTTTCCCTTGGCATCATTCTTCTAAGTCCTGTTATTCACTTGCTTTGGGAGAAGGAACAAAGAAGATGACAGAGGGAAAAGAGAGAATGAGAGAAGTTGGGAGAGATGGGGTTAAGGACAAGGAAGTGGGACTGGAGAAGAAGGAGAAGGAAGGAGAATGAGATGAGGAGGAGGAAAAAGAAGCACGGAGAGAAGGATCGAGGGGAAGAAAAGAAAAGAGAAGGAGATGATAAGATGAAAAAAAGACAAGGAGAAGCAGAAGGGCGTTTTTGTTTTTTACCTAACATTTCATAATTCTTATTTGGGACCGGGTCTCTGACAGCAATTATATAAATTCAAGGACCCAAATTGCGATTTTATATATTCCACGGTCTTTATTTGCAATTTTCCCTATTTTCAAGGCATTTCTAATTCTAATTTTTATATAGGTATTGATTATATTTTACAAGTTATTAACAACTTTCATTTAACAAGTAATAAAACTACTCTATTAAGTCATCCACAACTTTTTTTAGGTATTAATTATATTTCATTAGGTATTAACAACTTGAATAGTTAAAGGGCTTTATTTATTTATTCTGTAAGGTTTGAAATTTAAAAATCATGCTTGTTAAATAACTAATCGAAAGTTGTTAATAGGCAATAAAATAGTTGTGATAACATGTAGTTAAAGGTGAGTCAAAGGTGAGGAGTTAACTTATATAATAGGATTAAGGTGCAATTTTAACAACAAAGTTTACCCTAAGGGGCACCGGGCACCATAAAGTTTATTTGGGTGCAAAAATATACATGAAGTTGTCAAAAGGGAGCATCTGGCATCATGCCGTTAACGTCCGTCAGTTTACTGTTAGAGGGGCCCAGAAAGTCAGTTTTAAGGTGCATTTTTAACAACAAAGTTTGCATCAAAGGGCATTAGGCACCATGAAATTTACTTGGGTGCAAAAATATACATGAACTTTGTAAAAGAAAAAAAATAACAAAATTCTTCAACTTCCATAAACGTCCATTAATTTTATTCTTTTGGGTCTCACCAAATGCTATATTTTCTCTCCATCAATTTTCACTTCCAAGTCGATCCATCTTTCTCTCATCATAGTCAACACGCATACTCTCTCTGTCATGTCGTTTTCTTAGCCTCCAAGCCTTTTGTATGTATTTAAGCAAAACATATCTTTTCCTTCTAGGATGTGAGGTTTATTGCTTGCATCCAAGTACTACTTCCAGTCTTTAATATAGGATGCAATGGACTAATTTGAAGAGATTAAAAATAAATAAATAAATTACTTTAAAATATTATATTTATTGTTTTTTTTCCAAATTAATTTTCTTGGCTTGTAAACTAATATATAATTTAATGATGCATATAAATATTTTAGAGAGATCATGTACTATATGCTATTGCGTCAAATAAATAAATAATATAATATTTAAAGTAATTTATTTATTTATTTTAATCTCCTCAAATTAGTCCATTGTATCCTATATTAAGGACCGGA